AAGGAGAAGAGATTGTGGCATGGTCATCTCCCTGGGGGGGGTGATTTCTCACTTTCTCTGTCTCTGTGGTGAGCACATGCACCCTATAGCAAAAATCTCTCTTAAAAAAAAAGTATGACATATTTTACATTGAAATTATCCAGAAATTCATATATATTCACTTACTTCCTTATGATTCTAGGTACATGAAAGTACTTCACATAGTTCGTAGAAAATAGAATTGAAGTATTCATTTTGGAATACAAAGATTTGAAATTCATGCCCAGTTTATTCATAATGTGCATTTCCGTGAACTTTTTGAAGATTCCTACACATGTAGAATTTATACTCTGAAAGCTACGTAGAGTAGCAAATTCATCCTTCTAATTATCCATCAATAAGGTGTTGGATTAAAGTCATGAGGTTTTGAAGATAGCTTAATTTATGATACCACTTTGATAAATAAATCATTTTTTCATAGTGGGAAATCAACCAAAAAGTTCTGTATTGTGTATGTTTACCTTTTGATAAAAATGACCCTTCCATCTTTTTTTTTTTGTAATAACAATCCAGTTTTAATTCTAACACCTGAAGCTATACAAGGGTATGCTTTATAAACTTGATGGGACTGTTGTACATGTTTAATAAAGTGACAACTATGCAGTACCACTTAGTATCTAAAATCAGGAACATATATTTTAATTGTTTAAACACAGTCCACAGAATTAAGAACAAAATCAAAAGCCACTTACAGATATACTAATTGTCAGTTAAAAAGCTTTATACTTAATACTTGATACAATAGTCAATATCTAGTAGAGGATATTGGAAGCAATTCAGGAGTCTCATCCTGTTGTACTCTACCGAGAAGATTTCTTGTATAGGTACCAAATGCCTCCTGTATTAATGGATTAAGAACTGCACATAAATCTTTTATTATTACTTCTACTCTTGAAGATGATCATATTCTATGTGGCCAAATATTCTGGACTCATTTTGAACATAGGCATTTCAGTGTACTTGTATATATATATATATATGTATATGTATACATATACATATATATATATAAAATTTCATTTTTTTATACATTCAATTACCGTTTTTAGCTTACAAAGTGAATATTTCACTTTGTGAACATTTCTCCCTAGTCCAGTTGGTTAAACTCTTATCTGTCTTCAACAGATAATACCACATTTCTTTGTCCCATTAATGCTTTGCTTCCCTATTTTTCTTCTAAATGTCCTTCCTCAGGCCCTACTCTTCCACACACACTATATCTGGTATTTACACCCATTTATTGTGTTTGTATATCCTTTAGTCAATCAATTTCAGTCATAGAGTGCGGACACTCAGTATATAGTAAATGGGGACATACAGTGTCTCTCCTTCATTGCCTGGCTTGTCTCACTCAGCAGTAGATCTTCCATATTCTTCCACTTCCTGTCAAAAGCCAGGGTTTTGTTGGTTTTTATGAATGAATAGTATTCCATAGAGTATATGTGCCACAGTTTTTCAATCCATTCATCCATACAGGGGCATTTGGGTTGGTTCCATGTCTTAGCAATCGTGAATAGTGCCGCAATAAACATCTATGTGCAAGCACTTTTCCGATGAAGAATTCTTCTGTCCTTTGAGTAGATAACAAGGAGTGGGATTGCTGGATCATATGGTAGTTCTTGCTCATGAAATTCTCTTATAACCCATTCAAGTTCATGGGAAGCTTGATGTACATTCATCCTAATCTTTGCTTCATGTATGTTACCTTAAGTTGCCTGCTAACTTGTCCTCCTTCCTGTGTCACCTGCCTTTGATGATACAGATCTGCTTTATTACCAATTAAAATCATTGGAAACTCATCACGATCCTTTAAGAATCTGTCTTTGAAACTTCTAAATGTCTTCAAAACTGTCTCTACCAGCGATTACAGCTCACAGGCAAAATCTAGCTCTCTGACTGTTTTTATTTTTTTAGAGATTTTCGCTATAGGGCGCATGCGCTCGCCAGATAGACAGAGAGATACATAGAGACAGAAAGCGAAAAATCACCCCCCAGGTGGGATGGTCATGCCGCAATCCCTTCTCCTCCATTCTCCTCTTGGGATCTTGGGCACGCACGCACATGCGCCCGGCGTGAGTTTTAAGCCACCGGGTCCGGGACATGAACCGCAGTCGACTACATGGGAGTCCAGCGACATAGCAATTACGCTAACTGCTGGTTCCCCCTCATATACTCTTATGGCTCTAAATTATTCTTGTCTTGCTGTATCCAAAATACCTAGCCCAGCCACTCTGTCATCTCTAACACACTACTGTGTTGCATCTGCAATGGTTGGATCATAATCCATTATGAAATAGGACTGGATTAACTGAATGGTGAGTGCCGACTCCCGCACACGAACTCTCCCACACCGTCCACACAGACCGCCACCAGCTGGTACTTCTGGCTGGAGGCATTTTGCCAGCTGGTCACGGCCAAGGGAATGCTACCAAGCCCAGGCCAAGGAGTTCAGCCATCTCTGCTGGCCATAGGCCAAGATCTTGGGATTTGTATGGTAGGCAGGTTGCAGGTGAGCTGTTGAATGGGGTCAAGCACCAGGATCTGAAAGGAGGGCTGGTCCAGCCAGCAGCCCAGTGCCTGGGGCTGGCTGGGTCTCATTGGAGGCATGAAGAAGCAGGGTGATTGTAGGTGGGGGTGGCGGTGTCTGTTGGGGGGGGGGGCACTCCTCTCCATTTCTCTGCAGTGCCTGCCAAATGCAGCCTCCAGGGCCACCATAAAAAATATACCATCTATCCGGACTTCGGTGAAAATTGAATGCTTAGAGAATATAGAAGGTGGAAAATAGTTATGGATTTTGGAGACAATGGGAAGAGGATGGGAAAAGGAGGAGAATGTGAGGAAAGAAATTAAGGAGAAAAATAGGCAAAACATTTATGGGACACACAAAAAATGTATTTTTACCTGTTGATGATAATGTGTGTATAGTATCCTCAATTGGACTGGTGTGAAGTAGTCATATTGGTTAAATTCACTTTACAAGCTAAGTAATGTATAGTGATTGAATGTATAAAAAAAATCCCTCCATATTTTTTGATATTTGGAAGAAATCATTAACAACATTAAAAGTAAATTTTTCCTTTTTTAAAATTTTTAGTTTTTGTTGTACGGCGTGTACACTTGCCAGAGAGAAACAGAGAGGGAACCCTGGGGGTGGGGGGATGGCCACACTGCAATCCTTTTTCCAGTCTCCTCTCAGGATTTTGGGTACTCACACACATGTGCTTGGTGTGATTTTCAGGCTGTGGGATCCAGGACTCAAACTGCACAGCTGGCCATATGGGATCCAGGTCCTTAACGTACACGCTGACTGCTGGCCCAGTTTCTCCATTTTCTAATGGTCTGATCAGGAAACACATAGATTCTTCCTAACTTGTGATTTAATTATGACAAAACAGTTGATTTTTAAATAATTTACACTACTTTGACATATTAATATACATATGTTTCATATTCTTGTTTGTGTCATGAAAACAAAGGATTTACAGTATTGCTCACTTAAGAGTTTTATTAAAGAGAGTACTTCCCATTATTTCTTTTTTGGTGATTTTTCAAATTTAAAATCCTTAATCTTAAAATAATTTTAGACCTAAGGAAAAGTTGCAAAAATTGTAGAGCATTCTTGCGTGCCCTTGGCAAGCTTTTCCTAATGTTAGTGTTTTTTTAATAATTATTTTTTAATTTATTCATTATTATTACTATTATTTTCCAGTTTGATCAGAGAGAGAGAGAGAGAGAGAGAAAGAGGGAAAAAGTGAGAAACAAAGCCACCAGGTCTGGGATTTGAACCGCGGTTGACCATGTGGGAATCCAGCATCTTTAACCACCACACCACCTGCCAGCCCCTAATATTAATGTTTTAACCATAGTACAATGATCAACAAAAATAAATCAATACTGCTACAATATCATTATCTAAACTATAGATCTTATTTGAGTTTCACCAATAATTCTGTTAATTCCCCTTTTCTGTTCCAAGATCAAATCTAGGACCCCACATTGCATTTAGTCCTGGTGTCTCATTAGTCTCCTCTGGTCTGTGACAGTTATTCAGTCTTTCCCTGCTCCTCGTGAATTTTCACTTTTTTTTTTTTTGGAGAGGTTTTTGCTATAGGGCGCTTGCGCTCGCCAGACAGAGACCCTTCTCCTCCATTCTCCTCTCAGGATCTTGGGCATGCACGCACACGTGCCCGGCGTAAGTTTAAGCCACCAGGTCTGGGACTTGAACCACAGTCGACTACGTGGGAGTTCAGTGACATATTCATTACGCTAACTGCTGGTCCCAATTTTCACATTTTTGAAGGGGACAATGGTCTGTTATATCACATGTCTATCTGTTCAGGATTGTTTCATGTTTTGACTTGAATTGATTGAGGTCATGTTCTTGGCAATACCATCATAAAAGTGATGACATACCCTTATCAGTTCACCATTTCAGAAGTTAAATGATTGAAGTTTCTTATTTCTACTGGTGATGTTAACCTTGTTTAAGGTAGTGAGTGCCAGATTTCTCTGTTGCAAAGTTATGTTTCCTTTTATAATTAATTTATTCTGTTATTTGATTTTTGTTTATAAGACAAAGGGTGGATGTGCTCACCAGAGAGAGAGGGAGAAAGTGCCTCCTTGGAATTTGGTCATGCTGCAATTCCTTCTTCGTTTCTCCATTCTGCCAGGCTTGGGGGCATGCATATACACATGCCTGGTGTGTTTTTCAAGCTTCCAGGGCCAGGATTTAAACAATAGTAAGGCATGTGGGCTCTGGCTCCCTTAACCACTAGGCTATAGGACCAGCCTAATTAGAATTTTTTTAATAGAAAACAAGTATAGAAGAGATACAGATTGTTCTGTTTTCTCAAAAATATTGTAACTAGGTGGTAGCGTAATCTTATCTGATAAGTTTCATAATTTTAACATCTCATTTGCAGGTAGTTAGGTTGTAAAAATCACTTTTTGAATACCCTTAGCTTATGTTTTCAGAACACTTATTTAACTTGAAGTTTGCTGCAAAAGAACTTAATAGGAATGCCAAAAAATGTGATAAAGAAGAAAAGGCTGAGAAGGCCAAGATTAAAAAGGTAAGCTGTTTGTAATACACTTTCATGAAATGAGCTCAATTAATCATGGTTCGTTGTGTATACAGTTAAATTGAAGAAAGGTTAATAATTAGTTAAAAATTAAATCACCCCTCAGGGGGATAACCACACTGTAATTCCTTCTTCTCCATTCTCTTCTCAGAATTTTGGGCATGCACACACATACATCTGGCATGAGTTTTAAGCTGCCATGTCCAGGACTTGAACCATGATTGACTATGTGGAAGTCCAGTGACGTGACCATTATGCCATCTGCTGGCCCTTCTAGTTTCTAAAGTATTATATGTAACATGTCATAGTATCAATGTACAATATATTGTGGTTTGTGTATTTGCTAGGAGGATTCATAGGACTGAGTATGTACTTTTCTTAACCGCTATGATAGCTTATGGTAGAAGATGCAAAGCAGAAACAAAGGGAGAAGGTAGATATGACAAAATTTGAAGGATTCAGGCTCAAACATTTAAGAATCTTCTCCAAGAGTCAGTCATATTGGATAAACAATTCCTCCGGCTAGTTATGACATCACATGTGAATTGTTTCTGTCAAGGAAGTTCTGAGACTAGGAGTCCAAGGGATTCTATTGATAGGCAGTAATGTAGGCACTTTCTGCCTTTCACATCCAGATCTTCAGAAAGATATCAGATGTACAGCAAAAGCCACCATCATTAATCAGACAATATAGGCAGTGAGCCATTCTTATCAGTTTTGGGAATCCTCCCCATATCTAAGTTCCTAGATGCCACCTAAATGCCAAATTTAGAAGCATACCTTTTCTGAAGATTACAATCTCAGCCCTGCTATGTTAATTCTTTTGCACATATATATTTATAGATATGCTTTCAATATTATAATTCTTTAGCATTCAGATATTTAATAATAATGTGTATCCAATCCTTTAATTGAGTCATGTTGATTTTTTTGTCTATACTCCTTATTAAGAAAACTTTGCTAGGAGAAAACCTGTAGAAAAGGAAATATTCCTTATGTAAAACAGTTTGGAACCAGAAAAGTTTAAGATGTTAATTTTTTTTAGATTTTGGAATATTACATATATATATATATATATATATAAATAAAATGATATATTTTGGGAATGGGACCCATATACAAACAAAACTCCTTTATGTTTCATATACACCTCATACACATAGCCTGAAGGTAATTTTATATGTTTTTCTATTGCACCATTATGACTATGACTCTGGCACATCACATCAAATTAGGTTTGAAATTTTCCATTTGTGGCATCATGTTGGTACTCAAAAAGTTTACAATTTTCGATTAGGAATGCTTAACTTGTACTTGAGTTAGGAGAAAAAAGAAAAGTGCTGCATTAGGGTTATCTTTTTCTAAAACGTATGTCAACTATTTAAAGGAAAGAGAAACTCCAGAAAGATTTTTGGTCTAATTATTTCTATTTACTGAAGAGTTCAGAAATAGTTAAAAAAAATATTTTAAGGTATTAAATCTCAGTCAAGCATAGCAGTATTAAAGCTTATAAGTTATTTTACCACATACAATATTCATTAATGTTCTCTTATATGAATATTTGATAGTGTAGTGTTTGCTGAGCATGCGTCTTGTGAATTGTGATTCTGTTCTACCTGCTATGCATTTCTTTGCAATTTACTCTTTATTTTCTTCCACTTTCTACTTTCCCTATGTTATTTACCCCTCATCCTCTTTTTACTGTTTATTTTACCTAGTCTTTTTCAACCAGTTACCTACAATAGCAGTTTTTTTTTTTTTTATTTTTTGTGGGGTTTTTTTGGAGAGGTTTTTGCTGTAGGGCACGTGCACTCACCAGACAGACAGAGAGATGAGAAATCATCCCCCATGGGGGATGGCCACGTCGCAATCCCTTCTCCTCCATTCTCCTCTCGGGATCTTGGGCATGCACTCACATGCGCCCAGCGTGAGTTTTAAGCCACTGGGTCTGGGATGCAAACCGCGGTCAACTACATGGGAGTCCAGTGACATAGCCATTACGCTAACTGCTGGTCCCACAATATCAGTTTTATAAAGTTTCTTTATCTCCTCCATGAGCCAGAGAAAGAGAGAGAGATAGTACCCTTAATAGTGCCCTGGAACTGCGATCCACCCCCAGCCTTAGCCAGACTCAGGTCATTGGTATGCATGTGCCTGGCATACTCAGGTCTTTAGATATGAACCTGGAACTCTTCCCTCTGTGGGGGTCAGCCTCACAGAGCATCAGATTTTTACTGCTGAGTTACCATTTGGCTCTCAACCTTTTTTTAATGAAGACATTTAAAAATTATTTTCCATTGATATACAAAGGAATTGATTTTAAATGTGCAAATCCGTATATTAAAATATGTTTCATCTGGATTGAAAATAAAAAGTCTTAAAGCCCTATTCTTACTTGAAGAGAAAATGTGGAGTGACTTTTTTATAATCTTGGAGTAGGAGCTGTAAAACACAAAATCTAGAAGCTAAAAAAGGAACACTGATAAATATAACTGTGTTGGAAAAAAAAAATTCCATTTCTAAAAATTGCATTAAGATTTCCAAAGCAAAACAAAATGCCAGTGAAAGAATATTTGCAACAGTACAACAGCATGTCTATTTAATTTATATAAAGCACTTAAACCAGTGTTTAAAAACTAACAGTTTATTAAAAATTGGGCAAATCATGTAATTTAGTTTACAGAAAGATATTTATAAACATGCAAAAGCCTTAGACTAAATTTTTAAATGCATTACTTCTAAAGTGTAAATTTAAGTAAGATAGTGTTATTTGTCAGACTTAGAAAGAACAAAAAGTTTAGTGTGTTTTGCTATGAAGGACCTGAGGAAACAAGCATGTCTGCTTTGGTAAGAGTTAAAATTTATAACTTTGGAGGACAATTTGGCCATATCTAATAAAATTAAATTAATATATTCCTTTATACAGTAATTCTGATTCTAGGACTTCGTTCTAAAGATCTACTTAGGTACATGCACTAGTATGACAAAATTAGTCTTAATAGCATTATTGCCATAGCAAAGAAAAACTAGAAATGAGCAGATATGACCTACATGCCCATTAATAACAAACTTGTTTAATAATAGAATCACATGTTGGAGTACTATATAGCCATTAAGAAGACTGAGATATGTCTATATATTGACATGGAATACTGTTTCCTGAGAAAAGCAAGATGCAATGTTGTCTATTCAATAGCGCCAGTTTCTCTGCGTTTCTGTCAATAATAGGTATTAAAAGACTCTTTTTTCCCCACTCTGGTAAAATGTTTTGATTTCCATTTTTATTGAATGGGTTTAAGCTTCTTTTCACAGTTAGGCATTTCTGGTTTTTTTTGTACATGTGTGTTTGAGCTACTGCTAGGTTGTGGTATTCTTCTTTTTTACTTAATTTGACTAAGAACCTCAAATTTCATGATCATTCAAAAAAGTGGTACATCAGGGCTAGTAGGTAGTATAGTGGTTAAGGTACTGGACTCCCATGTGGCCAATTGTGGTTTGGGTCCCAGACCTGGCAGCTTTCTTTCTCTCTCTCTAGTAAGTGCATGTGCCCTATAGCAAGTTAAATAATAAAATTAAGTTAAATAATTCATTTTTAAAAAAGTAGTACTTCAAGTCCCCTATTTAACCCCTGTCTCTTGCTGTGATGTGAATGTTTGTGCTCCCTCCTCTAAACTGATAATGTTGAAACCTAATCATCAATGTTATGTTCTTAGTAGGTAAAGCTATTGAGAGGTGATACAGTCTTGAGGACAAATTCCTCATGAATAGGATCAATGCTCTTATAAAAGAGGCCACAGTGAGAGCTGCCTTGCTCTTTTCACTTTGAGGACACAGTTAGAAGGTACCATTTATGAACGGAAAGTAGTCCATCACCAGACATGAATCTACTAGCACTTTCATCTTAGACTTCCCAGTTCCCCTATGGTTGAGTATTTCCCCAGTACCCAGAGTGGTCTTATTTTTGGATTTAGTTTTTTAGATTTGTTTGTTTGTGTTTTAGTTTTTGCTATAGGGCTTGTGTGTGCTCACGATAGAGAGAGAGAGAGAGAGAGAGAGAGAGAGAGAGAACATGAAAAACCATCCCTCGGGACCAGCAGTTAGCGTAATGGCTATGTCGTAGGACTCCCACGTAGTCGACCGCAGTTCGAGTCCCGGACCCAGTGGCTTAAACTCACACCGGGCGTGTGTGCATGCGTGCATGCCCAAGATCCCCAGAGGAGAATGGAGGAGAAGGGATTGCGGCGTGGCCATCCCCTCTGGGGGCTGATTTCTCACTTTCTGTCTCTCTGTCTCTGGCTGGCTGGCAAGCGTAGGCGCCCTGTAGCAAAAACCTCTCAAAAAAAAAAAAAAAACCCTCCAGGGTAAATTACCATACTTCAATCCCTTCTCCATTCTTCTCTTGGGATTAGTCATGCACATAGGCCCAGCTTGTTTCTCAAGCCGCTAACCCAGGACTCTTAACTGCACAGTCTGCCGTGTGGGATCTAGCAGCCTTAACCATCATACCACTGGCCAGCCCCAGAGTAGTCACTTTTCACAGTAGATCATGACCATGTCCTTCTCCTTGGAGCCTTCCAGTGGCTTCCTGTAGCATCTAGGACAAAATCCAGAATCTCTACCTTATTCTGTAAGGCTCTGTATGATCTGGCCCTTCCTCACCTCCATCTTCTCCTACTACTCTCCCCCATAATCACTCTGCTCCAGCACACATTGGACTTCAGACTTTAGTAGACCACATCCAACTTAAAATCTTGTCTTAATGACTGCATTAGCTATTTCCTTGCCTAAACAGATTATTGCCCTTAGTATTTTGCAAGGATGATTCCTTCTAGGCATTCAGTTTTCAGCTTAAATGTCATTTTCCTCAAGTGACTTTTCTTTTTTTTTTTTAAGTTTTCTTTTATGTAGTTTTTAATTTCAAGAGAAGCAGTTTTAGCATAAATAAATCAAAATCAAAAAATGTTAAGAGAAATTTGCTTAAGACTTAAAGC